AGGCAGTATGTGGTACAGTTTTGTCTCCCAAACTCTCCTGTCTTGGGAGTTTAACTACTTGACTTGTTGGAGGCTAAATTGGTGGATTAGCCTATTTTTACAAAATAAAAAATTTTATGACACAAATGTAATTTAAAAAGGAAGTCTTTTCTGATCTTTATGTTACTTTTGGTATTTTTCTCTAATTATATGTACTTTGTTTTATTGGACAGCTCCTAAAGAGCTTGTAGTGTTCTACTAGTAAGTAATTTACATTTGATATTAATTTTCTGTTGCCCAGAGAGAGCTTGAATTTTCCAATTTTTTATTTTGAGACAGGGTCTCCCTGTAGCCCCAGCTGTCCTGGAACTCACTATGTAGACCAGGCTGGCCTTGAACTCACAGAGATCCGCCTGCCTCTTCCTCCCAAGTGCTGGGATTAAAGGCGTGTACCATCATGCCCGGCTATTTATTTTTTTATTCTTTTTGAGTCAGGGTCTCCCTGTAGCCCCAAATGGCCTTGAAGTCACAGAGGTCTGCCTGCCTTTGCCTCCTGAGGCCTGATTGAGCTTGTATGTATTTTCATAGAGGGAGTGAATTTTGGGATCTCTTCAGGGACTCAGCATTTTTTTTCCTCACTGATGAGGTATAATAGTAAAGATGTAGAGGCTTGGGTAAATGTCTTTTATGATGTTTTTAGACAAAATACAAGATTAAATTACTAGGAAACATGGGATGATAATTTTATCATTTAAGGTTCATGAAAACTATTTGAATTGAGAGGGTTAGTGGTAGGGAACAATATAAACCCCGGTTTTTTTCTTTTTGTTGCATGTGCGTACAGATACATGCAGGCTGGATATTGTTAGGTATCCTCTTTAGTTGCTTTCTCCTCACTTGCTTCTCCACGTTACTTTTTGAGACAGGTTTTCTCATCGACTCTGGAACTCATTGATTTGGTTAGACTGTCAGGCCAGCAAGCTCTAGGGATCCTCCTGTCTCTGTCTCCCCAGTGCTGGGATTACAGACATGTGCATCGGTGCCTGGGTGAGAAAGATTTGAACCTAAGTTCTCATGCTTGTTTGGCAAGCACTTTATTAAGTTTTACTGATATTTTTGCTGCTAAAATGATAATGGGCAAAAGTTTCAGTGTAAAAGATTACGTTTTCTGTTAGGTAGTTCTTATTGCTATGCCTGCTGCTATCCTTGCAATATCATAAACTTTCATCCTAAAAAATGGGCTAGGCCTGGCATGGTGGTGCACACCTTTAATCCTAGCAGGTGGATCTCAAAGCCAGCCTGGTCTACATAGTGAGTTCCAGGCCAGCAGGGGCTACAGGGAAACCCTGTCTCAAAAAGACAAAAAAAAAAAAAAGGTCAGTTTCCTCATCCGTTTCCTGTGATTTTACACTGACACAGACACACACACATGCACGCACGCACACACGCTCTAGACAGAGTGACCTAGCCTTGGCTGGGTCACTATATGGATCAAGCTGGCCTTAGACTCACAGAGATCCATCTGCCTCTGCCTCCTGAGTGCTGGGATTAAAGGTGTTCACCATCACACCCAGCCTCTGTAATCATGTTTTAAAGGATTGGAATATGGCATAAGGGAAATAATTAAGAATCATTTGTAATATATGACATTTTGGGGGCTGGAGAGATGGCTCAGTAATTAAGAGCACTTGCAGAAGACCCAGGTTCAATTCCCAGCACCTACATGGCGGCTAACAGCCATCCATAACTCCAGTTCTAAGGGAATCCAACACTCTCTTCTGACTTCTGAGGGCATTGCAGGACTCGGATGTACTTACACACATGCAAGTAATATATTCATACACATACAATAAAAATAATAAGTAAAATATTAAAAAAAAAAAAAGACACTTTCCAGCTATCTAAGCCGGATGTGGTGTTGCATGCCTTTAATCCCAGCACTTGGGAGGCAGAGGCAGGCGGATCTCTTGAGTTCGAGGCCAGCCTGGTCTCCATAGGGAATCCAGGCTGGCTGGGGCTACAGGGAGACCCTGTCTCAAAAAGATCCCCCCCCCCCAAAATATATATATATATGACACATTGTCATCTGTGTTCTTATTTTTAAAAATGCTAACAGGCAGAAGTAGTACAGTTGTTTTGGAAACATGTTGGGGTTGGAGAGATTGCTCAGTGGTTAGGAACACTGGCTGCTCTGTGAGACACACAGTAATCCTTTCACAGTCTAATCACTTTCCTTTGAGCCTCAGCTCCTAAAGATCTACCACCTCTCTATTCTGTTGGAATGAAGGCCAAGCTTTCAGAGCATGAACTTTTGGTGGGATGAATCACATCCAAACTAGAGTAGTTACAAATACTCAGGAGATTGAACAGATAAACATCATATGAAGTGTTTCTCTATTTTGGAGGAAGTCTTAGAGCAGGCTTACTTGTGGGTATTGCAATTTGGAGTGTCTTTGTCATGAAGACAGTGCGTATCTGTGTGTATCTGTCTCTGCAAAGGCAATAAGATTTCTTATATAGTATATATTACCTTCATGGAGTAGCATAGATATTTTTTCCCTTTACAAAATAGGTTTTTTTTTTTATGTTACTAAGTTAAGCCCTTTCATCTCTTTAGAAATATGACTATTGTAAGACTGTATAGCAAACAGTTTAGTTCCTCTGAAAGAATTTTGGAATTTGGAAGTGTGTAATTTAATGATTCATGCCTCACTTTATCTTTTTAAAGTGTTATGAGTTAGTAAGACTGTTCTGTCCTCAAATCTACAGAAGTGGTTTGCTCACCACTTAGTTATGTAACGCAGGCCGACCTAATGACTTGTTGTTCCCTCCTTAAAGCTTCCTTTTTTAAATGAATCAACTATTGCTAGTGTAGTTTCTGTATCTTTTGAAAAGTTTTGAGTGTGGCTTGGTTATTCCTGTAATGACTGGACTTAGGGCAGTTCAAGGTCAGCTTAGGCTACATAATGAGATCTTATCTAAAAGGTTGTTATGGGCTGGAGATGCAGATCAATTGTAGAGCACTTGCTGCCTGTGTGAGACCCTGTGTTTGGTTCCTAGTACTACAAAAATGTTTTTATAAAATTTTCCGAATACTGACTCAGTGTCATAGCTAATGACTACTTGGTCCAATTTGTGTGTGATAACTGATCTGGGTTTATCGTTTGTCATTGAAAGTAATCACTCTTTGTCAACCTCTTGTTATTTTGTTGGTTCTACTGTTTCATTTTAAATTTATTTTTATTTTCTCCACTATTTCTTTTTCGGAAGCTTATCTGGTTCTTGGTATGTTATAGCTTCAAATTTTGTTTCTCTTTCTTAACAATTCAGTAATTCAGATTTCAATGCTAATGTTTAGGATAAAGATGGAGATCGAGCAGTTCATCATGCAGCTTTTGGAGATGAGGGTGCTGTTATAGAAGTCCTGCACCGAGGTAGTGCTGATTTGAATGCTCGTAATAAACGCCGGCAGACGCCTCTTCACATTGCTGTCAATAAAGGTCATCTTCAGGTTGTGAAGACTTTATTGGACTTTGGTTGTCATCCCAGTCTCCAGGTAAGACTTAAAAGGAATATGCTAAGCAGGCTTTGTTAGGGGTAAGCACTTAGTTCTGTGGTAAACAAACATACCTTGGTTGTTGCAAAGGATATCAAAAGTATAGGCTGTTATAAAATTGGCAACTTATTCATAAGAAAAACCTTTTTAAAGAAAATGTCGATAGACTAGGTTCAGATTGAAAAATACAAATGAGGCTTCCTTAAAAAAATATCAGCTTGGCCCGGTGTGGTGGCACACGCCTTTAATCCCAGCACTGGGAGGCAGAGGCAGGCGGATCTCTGTGAGTTCAAAGCCAGCCTGGTCTACATAGTGAGTTCCAGGACAGCTGGGGCTACAGGGAGACCCTGTCTCAAAAGACCAAAAAAAAAAAAATCAGCTTATGAATTGAATTGATTTGCTTATGAGAATGAATTTTGGCAGCTTAAAGAATAAGCTTTATTTCATAATATTTATTTTATAACTATAAATATTTTCATTGTAGCTTGGTATAGGTCTGTTTTGGAAAATATTTGGGTTTGAGGGTTGATTTGTAGTAGAAGGGAAAGAGGCCTGCCTAATTTTTTAAGCAAAAAATCACCTAAGACATGATTTTTTTTTCCCAAGCCAGTTTAGCAACTAGGTAAACTTAAATCACACATGTCAGAGAAATACAGTCTGTCCATGATCTACTCATTTGAGTTATTAAACAGTCTGTCTTTTATGTACGTATAAGGTTAAAATGTGAAATGAATACATAATAATTTCATAGCAAAATACAATATGTCAGCATTTACATCCTTTTTTAGACCTTTTTCCATCTTGATTATCTTTAACAGAATAGGCTTGAGAAAGCATAACATATTATTAATTAAAAGTGGCCTTTGAAGCACTTTAAATATGTAAAAATACTTTCTTTAAATTGGAAACCAACTAATTATTAGAACAAAAAAGGGGAGGATCATTATAATCTTAAATTGCTTATAATTTGGATAATTTCCAGCAGCCAGAGAATTCATAGATCTTAGAGAAGTAATTGAAGAACAGGAGAAGTGAGAGTAGCAACTTCAGAAGAACTCAGAGACTGGAGATGCTATGCAGCAAATCATTAGCAGAAAACAATTTTTCTGAAGTGCAGTCATTATAGAACTAACAGGGTCTAGGATGTGGCTTTATAAGTAAGTGGCAAAGCTGGAAGATGGAGGAGGAACTGAGGGTGTTGATCTGTTGAAGAAAAGGGAATTTAGATCTACTGACCTTTTTGTCTGAAATGGGAGACATGGTTAGATGTAGAGAGTGTGAATTGGTATTGAGGTAGACAAAGGGTAGTTGAGAATAATGCTAAAGATTCGAAAGGTTGTTGTAGGACTAGAAGGCAGAACAGACAGGGGACCTGTAGAAGGACATTCCATCATGCTAAGAGCTCATCTCATATTGAAAGCTGCAAATGTTTTCCTTCTGCCAAATAAAAGGTAGATGGTTGGGTTGAACTTGGGTTAGGAATTTATGTGGGTGGATGACCATGTATGCCTGTGACTGTCAGACATTATCTGTAAAGGGAAAGAGGATACTGTAGGTTTTCATGTATTTTCTATCATAGACATACAGCTCTGCCATTACAGAATGAGGTAATCATACTTCTTACATAAATGAATGAATGTGGCTGTGTCCCAGTAAAATTAGCCCAGTGAGGGACTCTAGATAAGCTGACTAGATCTCAGTAGATGAACTTGCACTGAGGAACATCTGGGGACACTAACTTGATACAATAGGCCTTAACACAAATGAGAGAATGTATGAATATCAGTGGAGAGGCTACGGGAGGGTGCCAGTGGGGTATAAAGATGATTAAGATTGATTGAGATGTTCTGTATAAAATACACAAAAATTCAATAAAAACAAATTTTTAAAAAATTAGCTTAGAAAAACAGGTGGCAAACTGGGTCTGGCAACTCTGGTATATGGCATAGGATAGGCTATATATGATTTTTTGAAACTATGAATTACATAAGGTCTAAATTACTCAGATATGCACATCACTGATAATGAATGAGAATGTCACTGATAATGAATGAGAAAGTCAATAGATTAACGTAAACAATACCTTCAGAAAAGGTTGATTGATTGGGGCTCAGTAGTTAAGTGCACTGGCTGCTCTTGCAGAGAACCTGGGTTCTATTCCCAGCATCCACGTGGTGGCTAACACCATTCATAGCTCCAATTCCAGGGATCTGACACCCTCTTCTGACCGCCTCGGGCATTGCACACGGATGCACTTACACACATGCAGGCAGTACACTCATACACATAAAATAATTGGTAAAATTTTTTTTAAAGGTAGATTGAGAGACTGGAGATGCTCAGTGGGTGAGAGCACTGGCCATGCAAGCATGAGAACATGAGCTTGAATCTTCAGTGCTGACGTAAAAAGCTGAGCGTGGCTGCGCACTCCTGGAACTCCATCTTCGGGGTGGAGATAAGTGGAGCCCAAGAGCTCACTGGCCAGCCTGCTTTGCTAAAAGATTGAGTGTCTGGTTCACTGAGACCCTGTCTTAAAGGAGTAAGTGAAGAACAGTAGAGGAAGGTACCTGATGTCCTCCTCTAAGCTCCCTATATGCATGTATGGGTGCACATACCAGTATACCTGTGTGCATCACACACCACACATATTACATACTGAATACTGTACATACAAGTAAAATTTTTTAAAAGTTGATAGTGTTTTGCTTAGATTTGTTTCTACTTTGAGCTAAGTTGCCACTTTCCTGCCCTTAGGAAATGTTTAGTTGCTGATTCTTACCTGTGACTGTGTGTTAGGTTAATATAGGAAATTCTGAAGTTACTAATGCTTATCTCTCCTACTGGAGTGTAGCCTGGACATCAGGACTTTCAGGAGTTCCTCAGCAGATTCTAATGTGCTGTCAAGGCTGAAAACCACTTAGTTTGAACTCATTACTATAGGTCCCATGACTGCTGTAGGTTTTAGTATACCTGCTTTTTAAAGTTTGTTTAGTTTTGTTTTTTGAGAGAGTCCTATGTAGCTGGCATATATAGTTGAGGGTTACCTTGATCTCTTGATCCTCATGCCTCCACCTCTCAAGTGCTAGGATTATAGGTATGTACTGTCATGCCCAGTTTTTTGCTTTGTGCATTCTAGGCAGGTTCTCTAAACAGAGCATGAAGTTGAGCGTGGTGTAATGAACGATGAAGGCAGAGGCAGGGGGATCAGCTTTGACTGTATAGCAAATTTAAGGTTAGCCTGGGCTACAGTGTGAGAATCTCTCTAATAACAATAACCACCTTGAAAACAAAACAACAAAAAACCTGAGCATGATAATTACTGATAGTTGTTTAGCTGTTAGATGTAGCCTGTTTCTTTGTTTAGTAGTTCTGTAAAAGTATTGGTATTATGGCAGGAGAGATGGCTCAGCAGTTAGGAGCACTGACTGTTCTTGCAGAGGGCCTGGGTTCAATTCCTAGCACCCACATAGTGGCTAGCATTCATCCGTAACTCTAGTTCCAGGGGATCCAACACTCTTTGGACCTCCTCGGGCATTGCATAACACAGGTGCACTTACATACGTGCAGGCAATACACTCATACACATAAAATAAAAATAATAAATAAAATATTTTTTAAAGTATTATTAGTATTGGGGTTGGGGGTTTAGCTCAGTAGAGCTAGCGCTTGCCTAGCAAGAAAGTGCAAGGCCCTGGGTTCAGTCCTCAGCTCCGGGAAATTTAAAAAAAAAAAAAAAAAAAAAAAGTATTCATGTGGTGATTAATTGAAGGAGACCTAATGAAATTTTCTTTAAACTTAAAAAAGGACTCCGAAGGTGACACCCCTCTCCATGATGCCATAAGTAAGAAACGGGACGACATTCTAGCAGTTCTTCTGGAAGCTGGAGCTGATGTGACCATCACAAACAATAATGGGTTTAATGCCCTGCATCATGCTGCACTTCGAGGAAATCCCAGGTAAAAAAGCTACCTTTTACTATTTTAGGTGCCATTTAAAAATATTGTTCATTTCCTGTTGTTAGTTCTCTTTCTGATATGACGAGGGAACCATTTTTCAGTTTATTAACTATCTTAGATTATTTTTATTTTTTATTTTTATTTTATGTGTATGAGGGTTATGTCTGCATTTATGTAAGAACACCCGTTTTTCAATGCCTGCGGAGGTCCCAAGAGGGTGTTGAGTCCCCTGTAACTGGAGTTAAGGACAGTTGTTAGCACCATGTGGGTGCCTAGATTTGAACCTGGCTCTTCTGCAAGAGAAGCCAATGCTCTTAACCCCTGAGCCATCTCTCCAGCCCTTTTGTTTGTGTTTTGAGGGATTTCACTATGTAGTCCTGGCTGGTCTGCAATTTGCCATGTAGACCAGGTTAACCTTCAACTTACAGAGCCTCTGCCTCCTGAGTATTGGGATTAAAGATATACACCACCATACCCAGCCCAACTCATATGATTTTAAAGCTCTGTAGAGAATATGCCTCTATTGATTAGATAACATTTTTTGAATTTTTGGTTGTTAACCTAATATAAGTTCTATGAAATGGTTAGTTAAATGTATATGAAATGTAGATATAAAATATCTGGAATGCTGGCTTTATTCCTAAAGATTTAATTAAAACGCATTGTACTTGTTTTGTTGTTTCTTCCTGATTCTTCTCAGGGTGTTTTCTAATCCCGTGTTGCACTGTTTATATGATGTGTTAAATTTTTTTTGTCTAAATAGTTACTTAATGCCTTATTAATTATTATTAATGTTGCTTGTCCAAATGTGTTATGTAGAGGGGCCCTAGTTATTGTAGTAATGGATTCCCTACAGAATAAAAAGAGTTTGCTGGTTATAGTTCGAGAAAAACTGCCTTTGGAGAGTCAGCCAGTCATAAAGAATTTAAATATTAATGTTGAGGTTTTCATGAACTAATCTTTTGGAACAATTTTAGCCTTAAGATGCATTTTAGGAAATTCTGCCATAAGTGTCTTTTCTTTATAGGTGAGTAAAGCCTATATATCTTGACTAAGAAAAGCATTCACTTTGGTATTTGGCAATTTTATCCATCCTGAATTATTTATTATTTTTATCTTATGTGTATGAGTATGTTGCTTGCATGTCATGTTGTGCAGTGCCTGCGGAGGTCAGAAGAAGGCATTGTATCCCTTAGAACTGGAGTTATAAACAGTTGTTAGCCACCATGTGGGTGCTGGGAATTGAATCCTGTTCCTCTGCAAGAGCAGCCAGTGTTCTTAACCATTGAGCCGTCTCTCCAGTCCCCCATCCTGAATTCTTATTCTTCAGTTCCTTACTGTGTTTTAAAAAAGTTTTATTTTTATTCTTTGAAAATTTCATACATGTATTCAGTGTATCTTGATCATACGTACCCCTCACTAATTTGTTTTTATATCATCTTTTTTTCTTTTTTCTTTTTCTTTTCTTTCTTTTTTTTTTTTTTTTTGGTCATTTTTAAAGCTTCCTAGGTTGACCGCTAGAGGGTGATCACAGAAAACAGAAAACAAAAAGGATTTTATTGCTTACTGCTGTTGGTACCTATCCAGTAGTCCTATAATGTAACTGAATGACTACATTGTCAATTGTGTTGAATTTTTTCAAATTACAAATATTTGGGCTCTTCATGCTTTTGCATTGTGAAGGAGACAAAGTAATTACTATGTCTCTGCCCTTCTCATAGAAGGTAATGGTGATGATGAAAGCATTTATCAACGTGATAAGCTCTACTAGGTGCTTTAGATGCACTATCTTGATCCTTTCAAAAGCTTTTTAAAATATTAGTTAAATTTAATTTTCTGCTTGCTGTGCTGGTGATTAAATTCAGGGCCATGTGCTTACTAGGTGAGCATTCTGCCATTGAGCTATGGTCTGGCCCTCTCAGCAGCTTTTAAGACATCTGTTAATGACCTCATATTATAGATGAAGTATAAAAGGCTCATAAGAGATGGATGTACTTACCAAGACAAGTCTATATAATAATATAGCAAAGAGAAACATGCATTGACATCATCTTCAGTTAAATCATTCACGGTCTTTGTGTCAGGTCTCACACTTAGGTTGTAAAAATAAATGAATGTTGGTTTTAAAATTCTATTTAGTCTACTAACCTCGCCTTTCTTTCTGTTCCTTTTGTCCTAATTTAGTCCTCACTATTTTTACTTAGATCATTACAGTATTATTCTAATTAGTCTCTCTGGTTTAACTTTCATATGATTATCACTCTAAATGCATAGCTCCTGCTCCCAAACCTTCCATTGTTTCCTGTTGTATATAGTAACATTCAATCCTATTTATTTTGGTTTTTGAGAGAGGATCTCACTGTGTAGTTTAGGTTGTCCTCTTGCTTCAGCTTCCTGAGTGCTGAGATTATAGGCAAGTATGCATCACTGTGCCCAGCTTGAGCCCATTTCAGATGTATCCAGAGTCTTTCTAACTCTGTCTCCTGCTAATTAAAATTTCCTGTCTGCCTTGCCCTTCAGCTCCTTTATTATACTGTTTTCCACCCTAAAATTTGCTGTCTGCTCTCTTCCTTCAGGCTTTTGAACAGTTTCTTTCATAAGGATGTTAAATCTCTTTTCCCCCAGATCTACCTCCTTCCCTTCACTGGAGTTAATTTATGTTATATTATTACATGTGCTGTGGTCTGCTTAGTGCTGTTTAGTATTCTGTGCATTTCTGTGTATCTTTTTGTCCAGACTGGATGTTCACATTCATCTGTGTGTCCCCCACAGTGTTCTGAATCTAGCAGACACAAAAATACTAATCCTAGCTCCACAGTAAGGACATTATTAAGATTTTAAAAGATAATATATGATTCATTACAGAAGGATTCTGTAATAAAGAACAGAAGAGTTCAGGTACAGCAAGCACTGTAAGATTAGAATGATCAAAAATATTTTTATTCAAGAAGTTTAGGCTATAAAATTATAAAGTTTAAGGTAGACTGGAAGTTGAAGGTTTTAGAAAGCATGTATGTTTTAAGTATTTTGAATGCTTCATTCCATTAACAATAGGTGCAATATAGTCAGTAACACTAAGTCTGCTGAGGAGGGGAGATTTTCCTTCTATTTCTTCAATTATTGAATAACTAAACTTTAGTAATCTTCAGAAAATGTATAGCAGTGACTCCTTCAACCATATAATTTGTATTAGATGACATTTAAAAAGGAAAAAGTGCTTTATAACAAAATGGCTTTTCAGTTAAAGCTATCTGAGTTCTTTATTCCTTTTCCCTTAACACATTTTGGGTACTC